CATCCATGATCCACTGTTTCACAGGTTATATGAAACACAGCTTTAGATAAAAATAAATGAAAACTTGAATTTTTAGTTCCAAATACCATGTGGATTATTTTTTGTCTTTTTTTTTTTTTCTCCTCCAGTATAGATTACAGAGCATACTGTAGCTAAGCAGTTAAAATTGGTAAGTAAGGATGAGAGCAGCTCCTCAGAGCAGTTCTCAGAACAACTCCTCAGAGCAGTTCTGTCACCGAAGAGACAAGTCATCATTCAGCACCATAACTTTACATTTGTGAACACAATTTCCCATATTCGTGATAAGTTTGAGACTGAGAGCTCACTTCTCTCATGTAAGTTTCAATAAACTCTGAGGAAAAAGAGTACAAATTAAGACTTTGGACAAAAGTTTGCTATATTTATATGCCTAACATTAAGCTCCTTCATCAATAATCAGATTTGACAACAGATTTGAAGTTCAAAAGTGCTTAGCTAATTCATGTTCATTTCCAGTGATATATACTGTCCACAAACTAGGACCACTTCTACAGTTCAGTACATTTCCATGCAATTTAAATACAAGCTTTAAGCAGATTTGAATTCTTAAAACTATGAAATGTTTTTTTTTTTATTTTCGTTCATCATTATTCTATTTACTGTCTTTCCCTTACAGCTATTCTAACATTTTTCTGCTTTAACCAATAAATATTCCAACATTAAAGTGTTATTGACTATTCCATTAAGAACACTGACTACCAAAAAGATAAAATCTGCATTCCTTTCATTGACATTTCATTGCATTTTTCCATCTTGGTGCCAATCAATAAAATCTACTCATGTTTTGACTGCACCATCATAATCATCTTCCAAGAACAACTGGTTGTTTCTATTACTTTTTCCTTCTTCCTGAAGCAATTCCTATCAAATGCCATTTTAATTAGTATTTCACATTCATTTCTTGAATGAATTCACGAAATACTAGGTAAAAGGTAATTCAAATAAGCAAAAGAGGAACTGTAAGCATCTTCGCCATTGTCCCTATTGCCTTTTAACTGAGTACCCACGCAAATGGAAGCCATAAACACAATAGTTCTTCACGTAAGTCTTTCTTTGGTACACAGCTGGAGAAAAGCAAGATAGTTACCTATTTATCAATTCAAGAATGAAGCAGGTACTGCCACTGCTTGGCATTTAGTGCTTCACATAAAGAAATATGGCTAATATACTTCTTACTCTTTGCATACGTGCTCAGGTTGTTCCCTGCACATGGTTTGTTCTGTCTTTACTTGCCAGATTTCCCATTTCCAGAGGCAAGAGGAGTCTTTCCTCAGCCAATGTTTGATACGCTGCAAAAATTTGCATTCTCCTATATACATAGGCAATAACAATCAGCCTGAGTGATCAAACTTCAAATTCAGAAGCATTTTTTCCAAAAATACAAGATGCACATGCAGCACAAGTACTGGATCCATCTATCACCATTTTACCCATCGGTCTTTGGCTATCAGCACAGACATCACTAAGCCACTGCTTTGATGAGTTGGTATAAGAGCTTTACTAATAAAGAAAGACATTAACAAGCATATTTTCAGATTCTCCATTTCCAAATTCTATCAAAATAAAGACCAAACTAGTTTACAAAGCATACTGCGCTGAATTCTGAGCAGAAATTGCATTGAGGACTCACAGTAATTCACATCCCTACAGCTAGATAAATATTCAGCTTTCTTTCTAAATATGAATGTGTTGCTGCAGAACTAGGAATGTCTTGGAGTTAATAAGACCACAATAATTGATCAACCATCATCACAGTATTACGCAAACTTTTCAGTTTTTCCAGTCTCTACACATGCAGTACAGCTATGGATAATTCCTTCAAAATTACAGTGTAAGGTTAAATATTGTTGATAATTTCGTGAACAGAAAGTGACAACTGAAGAAGTGATGGATTTAAAATCAATACACTGATAACACATGGTGACTCTTCTAACGCTGTACTGTGATGCTCTGTATATTTGACTGACTCTTGAAAAAGCAACTCAAGAATTTTCTTGAGAGTAGCTTTCTTTTACACTTATTTTTCCCTGTGACTACTACTTCACCAATCAAGATCTACCAGCATTTTATGGTAGACAACACAGAGAACAATATTACTTGAGGATTTGTCCCTTGAAGAAATACAAAAGAGTCATCTGAAAAAACAGTGCTAAAAGCTGAAAACAGAACTAAATCAGCAATAAATGTAACTTATCCCAGTAGTGTTTATTATCTTTTTCAAAAGCTAGCACTGATGCCAAGACAAACAGTCCAGATAAAAACCTTTGTTAGCAAGGCACTTACCATATTTATTGATGATACAGGACCAATGCTGTTGACATAAATGTCAACATCAATAACTGTTGGTTTTACTGTGGAGAAAAAAAAAAAAAATCATTTAGTATTATTTTTATTTATCAGAAAACATAAGTAATCACTTTAAACATTTTCTCCCACAATTATCATAAGGTTTATTCTGCAGCTAAAATCAGGAACTACTGAGAAGCAAGGTTATGTATTTTTAATGAAGACAACATTCTTTCCTTCCTCCCCAATAAAAACTGCCACAAGTTACAGCTCGCAGCACATTATCATCATGATCACAATTTACCTCAGCGGCAAAGAAAATTAAAGAAAATTTTAATTGCCAAACACAGAGGCTCAAACTCAAAATTTGAGATACTGCACTATTTCTAGTTTCACATCAGTCATACATCTTCTTCCATTTCCTCAATATTCACGTATGGCATGCTTGCTCCGTAACAGAAAAATCCTTCTAGATTATCTCATCTTACTAGCTCTGAATAAAATCCATTTCACTAAACCTTCGCAACTTTCCTCCTTTCAGTTTAGACTCTTTCCCTCCAGCTCACATTGCCTTTGCACTCATTCATCTAATGCTCTTTGAATTTCATTTGGTTAAATCAACTCATGTTTTTCACAAGGCATTCCATGTTTTCAGACTTCCAGAGTTTAATTCAAAGACATCGAGTAGGTCAGGACAAGATCTCTTTACTTCAGGCCCTGAGAATTTAGATTCCGTTTCGCATCTTTAGTGTCAAAATACCTACAGAACAGTTGCTTTGTCTAAAGCTTATGAAGCCATTGGAAACAAAACTGAAGATAGATGGGAATCTCCACATATAAAGATGAATAATTTTTGCCTCTATTCTCAAATTTCAGACTAACAATGAGATGCTGAGGAGTTTTAAGTATCCAGAAAGCTCCATGATTCTAAAAAAAACTATATATGGGCAAACTGGCTTGTCATTTAAGACTTGGGGATATATTCCCCTCCTCACAAAGACTGCATCTAATGTTTTAAAAATAAATAAACTTAAAAAAACTAAAATGGGCACAAATAGTCATCACAGATAATAACCATTCTCTGTAATTCATGAAGCACCGCACAAGTTGTGGACTGCATATTGACAGGATATTAGGGACCTGTTTTAAGGTCATGGCTTAAAATTGTCTGCAGGACTGGCTAATAAACTCAGATCTTCCCTTCAGCAAAAGAAAATCTGAACTCAGCTACTCAGCTGAACAAGCACAACTGATTAATGCAATTCTAATTGTACCCAGTTAATAACTAAATAGGAGTCTAGCAGCCTTTGGTAATGAGACGCCTCAAAATGCAGCAATAAATGTTGCTACATAGGAACTGCTAATGGCAGGGAACTGCAGCTCGCTCTTTTACCGAGATAACATACACTGAATAAAAGGCTCTGATCTTGTTAGGACTTAGGAATGCATCCAGATAGAAGTTCAACACCAAGAAGTTCTGGTAAACACTAATGAGACTAGATGCAGTGATGCACACAGGCATGCAACTGGATCTTGGTAGGATCAGTGAAAAAGGTCAGGACCAGAACACAATGCTTAAAACCCATCTTTGTTGAATCACTAGGGTTAAATATATAAATAGATTATGAAATGTTTATTCCTCCTGAATATGCTGGGCCAAGTTGTCTGTGTGGTGAGAAACAATAAAAAAAATTCCACTGATGCTAAAGAGAATTTGGTCTTACATATAGTAAAAGTCTAACCTCTGAGCAAAAGAAAACTAAACTACAGCCACTTCCCATCCCAAACAAAATCAGCATCTAATCTCAAAAATCCCCAGGGAAAAAAAAATAATAATAAATCAAAATTCATGTAAGCTATTATATTCCCACAACAAGAAAAAAATGCAAGTTTCTTTGAATGATATTTTGTTTTCCTGGTCAGTCAGAAAAATAAAATTGTACAACTGCATGTCAAATACATCTCCAGATTCTGGAACAGAAAGAAAAGTACAGTTCTTGTTGCACACAGACTCTCGCAGATATAAACAGATAGTTGAAGAACCATCAGGTGCAAGCATTACACTTAGATGGGATTTTAATTCAAAATACAAACAGTAATGAGGTAAAGATTTTAAGGATTACTTCACTCAAAACGTACTAAGAAAATAACTGAGTCTAAAAGTAATCATACTTATGCTTAGAAGTTACTCTTCCTGTACTAGCCTTCAAAAATAAATGGAATTGTATGAGAATAAAGAAAAAATTACATGATCAGTTATTTTGAGGCCTATTTTTCTATATTCTACATATAGTTATGAATGCTCAGTTCAGGGGCTGATTGAGCCCTGCACTGTGCAGTGTAGCAAGAGCTGCAGATGGAGCCTTTTTTCTTGCACTGAACCAGCCCTCTAGGTCTTGGTTGATAAACCATAGTGTTAATACCTCACTAAAAGCAACAGCAAGATTGCAGATGGATCCCATGCTCTAGGACCATTTTGATATTGGCTTCAGTCCAGAATAGTTCTGGAGAACTGTCTCAGGAGTTCAGAAAAATTACTAATAGAACCATATGTATATCACATGCTGGAGAGCAATTAAAGGTTGTCAACAAATATATTGACATTCTCAAAGTTCTTTGAATTGGTTTTTGATATATGGTAGTTAACTTTCCCTGAAAGACAATGAAAGTACATACAAATGATTGCACTGTGAGGCTGCTAAACAGTGCTATTTAAGGTTAGCTAACTGCTCATCACAATCATTCCATTTTCAAACACGCTGATTTTAACTGAGAAGGGGATTTTTCTAGCCAATCAAAATATCTGCAAACAAAACTAAGGTCTTGCCAATATTTAGCTAGTAGTCCCCATCTGATCCAAATGCCATGTCTTTGAGGCAGATGTGTTTATATTCCAGTCAACCTTGTGACGCTCACATTGCAATGACATCCAAGTGAAATTTGTCTTCAAATGTCAAACAGTTCAAGAGATGCCAAGCTGCAGGAGTGGTGAGCTCAGTGCTGTCTGCAAAGCTCACTTAAGCAGCCAGGTGAACACTTAACCAGTTAGCCTAAAGCTAGGTCAGGCATGTCTGCACAACTATGAAGTACAGCAACTAACAGGCTCTGTGCAGTCCTGACTTGGATTTACACATCTGAAGTCTGTCCAAATAGCACTCATGCTTCTGCACAAATCATAAATATTTTGAATTATTTTTAAAAGTTTAATGCCTGTAAGTATTTTCATAGTAAGTTCACTTAAGTATGAATTGGACTAGTTTAGCTCTCATAAATTCTAAAATAAAGTTAAAATTAGTATTTGTTGAGAGCTAACCTTTCTTACACTGTTCAAGCAACTCTTAACTCTGAATTGTTCTGCTCTTGCCAAAACACTGGTAGAAAAAAGGTTATGGACAGATATACACTTATTTCTTGAAGCAAAGCAATTTAAGGAGTATGACCACCTAACAAATACAAGGCTTCTGAATGAAAAAAAAAAAAAAAAAAAAAAAAAACCACAAGATTGGCTCTACAGTAATATTTCTTGAAAATACAGTGATATTTTATATTATCTCATTTGTACATAAACTGCTATTTTTATTATGGGATAAGCAGCAATAAATAATTACACAGTTATTGGTAACAGTGGTTAGTAGTGATTACAGCGTTAATGCTTGCTTTGCATTAGTGATGATAAGAATATTTTCCTACATGATATAACAGGTGACATCTAATTACTTGTTTGTTTCTGTAAGAGAAGTTATTTCTCATCGATAGTTGAGTCAGCTAAAACCTCTGTGGTCAGCTAAAACCTCTGTGTTTTAGGAAAATCTACCACACTTCAAGAACAATATAGTAATGGGAAAGTACCATTGAGGGGGAGAACACAATAAAACAAAGAAAAAAAAAAGAAAAGAAAAAAAACAAAACATTCTCTCTGCATGTAGAAAATGGAATTGAACAACAATTACAAATCAAAGACCTTCACATGTTACAGTCAGTGAAATTCTGATACAACTGTAATCCCTATGATTTAAGATCTAACTACCTGAAGAGGAACGCAAATAAAAACCAAAAGGAATATTAAAAATTAGACTTCGAAGAAAGCATGCATGAGTGCAGTATCAGGATGGGAACAGTCTTATGAGAAGTACTATATTCACATGTAAGGTGCCTTTCTGACCAGAAGTGTGAATGACAGCATGCATTAGAAAGAATCTCTCCATCAGTAAGAAATAACTTTTATTCTTCATATCTTAGCATTACCATCTATCAATCTCTACCTCTTTCATCTTCTACCCATCCTTCCCTAATACACAGCTTGTGATTCCTCTGGTATTGTGGTGTTTAAGAATCAAAACTCTACATCTTAGATAATTAGCTTGGTTTTGCAGTCAGTCCCTGAATCTTCCATTATGGTTTATTTATATCCATAGGAAATAGTTCCTATGTGAAATCAGAAGACCACGCAAGAATGGAATTTGTTCCTGCAAAATCTAGAAAGCAAGGTTTGGATAAACAGCAGCAGTCACTGGAACACTACACAGTTGCAAAAGAGCAACAGTGTTTTGAAATAACATAAGCAGAAATTTTTTCTTGTTTAAAGATGACAGAATAATTTATTGCTTGGCGCTACAACACTGAAGCAGGAACTACAGCCCTGTACATCTGCCAAATTTACAAATGCTCCCTTAGAAAGCCTCTTTGATAAGCAAAAATAAACAAACAGAAATCCACTTCAAACTGCACTTCTGCACCTAGAAGAGCTAGGAGATTACCTGTCAAGGTAATCACAGAAGTAAGGAGAGATTGAAAACGGACTTTCTCATCTAACAATTCCCAGGTTTTTCCAGACCCTTACTTTTCAACTGACGCTTTCCTGAGACTGTACACCGCTCTCCCAATCTCATCTCAGATTTCTTAGATGAATTTAAGTTAAGAAAATTAGAACAAGCAGCTGCTATAAATAGTTTTTGGTCTGACAGTTAGCTGAAGTATTTGGCAAACATTAACTGTCAACCAAACTTTCCTACTCACAGTGCCTCTTAAGATAAATACTCAGTATGAGTTTGTTAGTTTGTTTCAA